TCTATTTTTATTATAAAAAAAAGTGATATAATAAAGAATTATTATTAAAAAATCTAGACTTTTAAGACTCTGAAGATAAAATAAAAGAAAAGAAATATTTTAATAAAAAGTAATCTATTATATATAAGAAATAATTTACTAATTATTAATCTAATAAAATGTTGGATTAAGATTATAATAATAAAACTATTAACAGAATAATTCTTTAATTCTCTAGACTAATATATTATTATTTTAAACAGATTTATATTATTTCTAGTAATTCTAATATTAGATTAAGAATAATAAAAAATATTAATATAAAGTTTAATAATTATAATTAGTCTGATTAATAATATTTTAATACTAAAATAATTTATTATATAATAGGGTAGAGACTAGAGTGCCTATATCTAATTATTATATCTTAACCTAAATTTAACTATAATTTAATAATTAGATTAAGATATAAAAATTCTCTTAACTATATAATTAGGAATAGATTAAAATTAAGAGATTACTTTAATTAATCTTAAGTATAGATTAGAAAAATTAGATATAATCAGAAGATTAATAATTACTAATTAATTAATAATTTATATAGACTTTTGATAAATATAACATATTAAAAATAATATAATTTTAATTACTATATTATTAAGATAAGATATAAATTAGATTAATTAATAATTATTAATTCTTTTTCTTTTCTTACTAGTAGTTAATAATTAGTAATCAGTAATCTAGTAATTAATAGTCAGTAGTTTAGTAGATTCTCTATTAGAGTTTTATAAGTAATACTAAAAATCTAAATATAATAAGATTAGATTATAAAAGAAATATATACATTACTATCTAAGTTATTCTTTATATTATACTAATTTATAATTATAATAATAAAAAGATTATATAGCTTAAATATCTATCTATATTTAAATATATATAATAATACTAAACTAAGAAAAAACTTAAACTTTCTTTTTAATAATATTTTTTTCTTAGAATTATTATTAAAATTATCTATATTCTTACTAATATAAAAGATTATTATTAACTTATTATCTTTTTCATTTTTAGCTGTAAATATAATAAAATATAAAATAAAATTATTAAGAATATTCTAATATTTTTTAATAATAATAAAATAATTAGTATATATCTAAAATATAAATATTTTAATAATCTTGAAATATAGATAGCTATAATAATAATAAATATTTTAAAAATTATTAAAGAGCTATTTAATACTAATATTATTAATTACAATATTTAGAAAGTTTTTAATTATAGAATAAAAAAAACTAATTATAATAGAATTTTTAATAAATAAGAATATTAAAATAATCAGTAATTTCTAGATAATTATTAATATAGGAATAATTATAAAAATTATTAATTTAATATTCTAGGTTTAATAATCTATATATCTTTAATATTAAAATAAATCTTAAGTTCTTTAAATATTACTATAGAAAATAAGAGCTTCTAATATTTTAAAATATTATAAAAAATCTTATATAGATCTGAGAATATACTAAAGATTATAAATAATATATTAATAATGAAATCTTACTAATAATAAAGATAAAAGATTTTTTTAAAGATAGTTTAATATTTAAGATATTAATTAATATTATTGTCTAGCTAGATATTTTTTTAAATTTTTTAATTTTAATATAGAGTCTTGAATAATTATAATTATATAAATATAAGTTTTAATTTAATAAATTTAATAATAATACTTGCAAAGTTTCTGATATTTATTCTTTAAATTCTAAAGAATTCTTTTTTTAGAATATTTATTTTTATATCAGCTAATTAATAGACTGATTAAGATAATTAAAAAGATTATTATAAATTTTATAAATTTTATAAAGTATAAATCTATTATTCTCTAATAAATAGAAGGTAAAGAGGAAAAAATATAAAAACTTGAATAAATATTCTAACTGCTTTTAGTTTATTAAAATAAAATAAAAATATTTAATATTATTATAATTTTAATACTATATAAAGCTCTTGACAGCTGATTGTAATTTAAATATATATTTAATTATAAAATGAATTAAGTTTTATTAAATTTTATAATTAAGAAGAAAATAGTATATTAAAATAGATTTTAATTACTAAATAAGCTAAAATTTCTTCTGATATTAGAAACTTATATTTATAAATTATATAATTTTTTAAATTTATTATTAAAAGTAAGAGTAATATATAAAAAATATTAGATAAATATATAAAGTTTTTATAAAAGTTTTATATAGATAATTTCTATTATATATTTTTTTAATTATTTAGAAAATATTAGCGAAGATCTTAAGTTTTTTATTATTATTTTTTATATATATTGAACAGTTTTATTAATAGTCTTAATTTAAAATTTTGAAAAAAGAATATTAATAAAAAGCTTAATAATATAAATAAAATAAAAAATATAATATTAACTTTAAATAATCTTTATAAGATTTGAGTTTATTAAAATATTATAAAAATAAATATTCTAATTAAATTAAGCCCAAAGTTCTGATATAATAATATTAAATATAATATTATTATTATTAATATTATTAATAATTATATTAAATAGCTGATAAATAAGTTTATATTTTTATAGAATATTAAGATAATCTTAATCAGAGTTTTATTAATATAAGATTTAAATATTAATTAAAAATTTAATAAAATCTTATAATAATCTATATTTTTTATTAAAAAGTATTTAGTTAAAAGTAGAAATATTTTTTAATTTAAACTACTTTAATAATTAATTATAATTAATATATATTTAGTATCTGAAAGTTTTAATAATAGCTAAATATATACTTTCTCTGATAATTTTAAAGAATATATTTTAATTTATATTTAATAAAAAAATAAATATTTAGAAGAATACTAGAGTAATAAGATTAATTATTTTTTTAAATTAATTTAATTTAATGGTTTAGAACAGCAGGTGGCAGGTAATAAGAAAATATAATACTTAATTAAAAAAGTCTTTTTTATCATAAATAATAATAATCTAGAGATATTATAATAAATATTATTAATAATTAATTTACTAAAGAATTTAGAAATCTTATATAAAAATAAGACTTTAAGATTAATATTTATAGAAATATTATCAATAATTATATATTTATAATAAATCTTTATTTAGTATTTGCTTAATAATTTATTTAGAAATAAATTAAAATATTTATTTTTTATAGTTCTTATAAAAATAATAGTTTATAGAACCAATCCCAAAGTTATTAATTATTAAATACTATAAAATATATAAATATATAATATATAAAATATCAGAGATTTTATTAAAAAATAATATATTTTTTAAAAAGCAAGTTTTTATTATTACTTCTTTTTTTAATTAAATTAAAAGAATAATTTCTAGTTTTAAGTATAAATCTGATTAAAAAGAAATATTTATTGTTAATTATAAAGAATATAAATCTTTTTTAAAAAAGCTAGATATAAGATAATTTTCTAATATCTTATAACATATTTAATATTAAGATTTAAAAAAAAGATAGTATAGACTGAAAAGCTACTTCTTATTTAAATATTATTATAATTTATAAAAAGTTATAAAATAAAAAAAGAAAATTTAATAATCTTCTCTAGGAATAAATTTAATAATTATAATTAATTTATAATAATTTATTTATTTATATAAGTAGTAGAACAGAGTAAAGAATTAGAAAAGATTTATTAATATAATCTTATTTTTTTTTAAATATATATTAATAAAAATATAATCTATTATATTTATATATATTAAAGTCAAACAATAATACTCAGTTTTTATTAGAGATATTTTTAATCTTATTTATAAGTCAGATTATACAGTATCTAATAATTATTATATAAAATAAACTTATAAATAACTTCTAGAGAATTCTATAAAAAGGATTTCTATAAATAATTTTTATTATTCTTTTTTAAATAATAGAATTTATAAAGATTTCTTATAGATATTTCTAGAATATTACTTAAATTCTTTTCTTATAATTTTTAAAAAATATGGATTTTTAAATAGATTAAGTGAATAGAATAATGTAAAATATTATAATTAAATAATATAAATAATTTATATTATTTAGATTTATAATAAATATTTAGAAGACTTTCTAAGCTAATAAAATAAATAATTAATTAAAATATTATGATATAAAAAAGTTTATTAAGAGATTTATTAATTTTAGAGAATTATTTAAAAAATATTAATAATTTATAAACAGTATATAGCTAAAATAGAAATAATTTTAAATTAATTAAAATAATATTAAATAAAGTATACTGCTTTTTTTCTTTTAAATATTTTTAAAATTAAAAAGATTTATCTTATATAAATTATTAATAAAGATATAAATAATTAGAATAGACAGAGATTAATCTAAGTATATCTTAATTAAGCTCAGATCTAAAGAAATATAATAAATAGATTTTAATATTAAATATAATTAAAATAATTGATTATTCTATTTTTAATCAGTTTAAAATAAGATTATAATCAGAGAAAATAAGTAATTAAAAAATATTTTTAATAAAATATTTATTTTAATATTCTATCTAAATAATCTTAAAATTATTATAATAACACTCATAAAATTAAGATACAGAGCTTATTTTCTAGATATATTAAAAAGTTTTATTAATTTAAAGCTAGATAAGTCTAACTATATAAAAATATTTTAAAAGCCTAAAGAATTTAATTATAAAATAATTAAAAATATAATACTTAAGCTAAAAAAAAACCTCATATAAACTTAGATAATCAGCTAATCTATAAAATTATAAAATAATTAATTCTTTAAGAATATTAGATTTAAATTAATTATTATTAACCTAATATTTTTATTAATATATAAAAATAATTATTACTCTATATATCAATAATATTTTTATTTTTAATTATAAAGAAGCTGCCACAGTAAAGTATGTTTTGCCTGGCAGAAGACTTTTCACCAGTTATATATGCTACTTGCTCGCCGCCTTGAACACGCTAAGATCACTGGAGAACAACATTCAAAAGGGTCGCCAGCTCAGTAAAATTGCTGGAAAACGTCACCTTCCCCGCAAACTCAGCGACGTTTCCATTCTTCTTACTTTACCCCTTCGTCTAAACCTGAACCTGATTTTTTGAGAAAAGGGGGCACAAAGCATAGACAGAGAGGAAAACCTATGAAACATGGTGGATGCAGCGCTCGAGCCTATTCCCTCCCCGGCCCAAGGTGTCGGTCCTATCTACAGACCTGATGGCGAAAAGCCTACAGCAACAGTATCCAAAGACATCTCCTATGATAATGTCCATGTTCTACCTCAGTCTCCCCAGTTAATTGCTTTATTAACGTAAGATGAAAAACAAATCACGAGTCGCAAGCTCATGTGACTACTTCTTCGCCAGGCTAACACATTTCGTAGAATGATCAGAGATAGAAGAACTAGCCGTGCAGATTTCATTTTCTATTCAAACAGAATCATCCGTCTCCTGGTGGAAGAAGGACTCAACCACCTCCCAGTGGTTGAGCAATCGGTCACGACACCTGTAGGACGTGTCTACCTTGGTGTTAAATTTGAGGGGAAAATATGTGGTGTTTCCATAATGAGAGCAGGCGAGGCGATGGAGCAAGGGCTTAGGGACTGCTGTCGCTCTGTTCGAATTGGCAAAATCCTTATACAGAGGGATGAGGAAACATGCAAGCCGAAGCTTTTCTACGAAAAGCTCCCTGCCGACATTTCAAATCGATGGGTGCTTCTCCTGGACCCTATGTTCGCAACAGGTAAGATCGTTTCAATCGCTACTCAAAGTGATCTAACATTGACCAGGAGGTTCCGCGACCCTTGCTGTCGAGGTCCTGAAGGCCAAAGGGGTTCCAGAAGATCGTATTCTATTTCTTAACCTAATCGCGAGCCCCTCCGGCGTTGCAGATTTTGCAGAACGTTTCCCCAGGCTCAGAGTAGTGACAGCCTTTATAGACCAGGGTTTAGATGAGAAAAAGTGGGTTTTCTCAACTGGTCGAAGAATTTGGTCTCCATTACTGATCTATGATTTAGGTATATTATCCCTGGCTTGGGTGATTTCGGCGATAGATATTATACACTTTGATCAGGTTGGTTGATATTGGGGGTCGTGGAAGATGTAGTTTACAAGGTAGATACAGTAGAGAGAATTTCCATCTAAACAGATATTACGGGTAAATTTTATTCATTTGGTATCTAAGGTATATAACACCTCTCATCAGGTATCGTGACGCGAAATGTTCATTAGGCCTTTATCGTGTATGCTGCTGAATCCTCTAGACATAGAGTCAGTAATCGTCAACATATGCGTCGACGCGCTCAGTATCGTCAAAGCCAATATCCTGGGTGCCTGGAGAAGCATTGTGGTCATTCGAACGTCTAGAGCGAGCACCGTTTTCGTCATGTTTAGTTGCAGTATCCTTGGCAACTGCGTCACAGGCATCTACCCAGTCCGAATATACATCAACAGCGGCGGAGAGGTCTGGATACTTTAATTAGGAAGCTAATCTTATGAGAAAGGCGTTTTTTACCCCGATATACTCACAGTTAATGCCTGTTTGAAACCTTTGGCCACAGACTTTACAAGATAGATTTCCTAATCCCAGCTTCTTGTCCAGTTTCACAACAATCGAGTTTTCGTGATTGCAAAAAAGACAAGCAAATGTGGTGGGCAGTGGTTCTCTCTTGATTCCGCATTAGCATCAGCAGCTGTGGTGGGCGTCGAGCTAGTCACCTTTTTGGGTTGCTGGGGCTGCCTGCTCGACTTCTTCCGCTTACCCTGTAGAGATTAATCGAAATGAGGTTAGAAATGACCGCTTCGAGATGACTTTGTTGAAGACATACCATTCTTTAGGCTGCCTTTACCGCCGATTTTATAAACGGGCCTATGTGGTTTGAAGATTGTACGCCCGATCTGTGGAATCGGCAATGACAATTGCAGCACCACGGACAGGATCTTACCAAGTCTTTGCTTAGTAATAAATTATTAGTTAGTTGGCTGAGCCCCCATGCAACATGGTGATCTTCTTGTGTAGGCAAGTGGTGGCTGGAATAATGGCCTCCGTACTTTGAGATGGAGGCTATTTACTTGTATTCAAGGATAATACCTAGTACCTTATGATTGTGATGATACGTACGTAGATGCTACCTCGGTAGATACGCACTAGTTAGTGGGTTATTGATTACCCTACATGTGTACCGCCTTCCGTACCAGCTATTCTGCCACCAAAAATGAACTCCAAGTATTATCAAATATTTTACAGATTACGGAGTTATACAAAGTAGAAATTTTGTTATACTCCACGGAGTATATACCGGACATTTCTATTCTACCTACCATCGGGCACAGACCCACTACTCGCTTCCTCTTGCGGCTCAGACATCACATGACCGCGCTAAACCGCTAAATTTCATTGAGCAGCCAAGGGCGGTAGTGCATTTATATAGTCTGGAACATTAACTTTGTTCAAAGGCTACTACTTGTCTTGCCTGCATGCGATCCTAATTTAACATCTAATGTTAACCGCTCTATATACAGCGGTTCTTGCCTGCACTTTTGACACCTTATACTCACTGGCTTTAATAATATGAGGGCTCTTGGGTTTGCACATCGACGCAGGCATAAAATAATAGATTGTAATAGACAATCAGGTAAATATTGATATCTGATATAGTATTCTGTAAAAAAGTAATAATACCATAAAGATATAATACAACTGTTACATCCCGAGTGCAGTTCAGCTTTCGAGCCAAACAGTGGGTTCTAGCCAATGGAAATAGCCGGTATATAGTACAACTATTTCAGAAATTTATGTTATTAGAAAGTACTAGTACCACTAGTGAGGAATAGGTGAGTAGGTATTAGTGTGAAACGGTATGACATATTGTATCTACAGAGTACTGCACTGTGTATGGAGTACTAGCAGTGTGATGGAAAGGGCGACAGGTCACGTGGGATGTATTGTATTACCCAATCAGAAAAGTTTTAAGAGCGGTGGTGGGGAAGGGAATATTATGTAACTAGATAGGGCCGACGCCTCGCTTAGCTGACTTTTCTGTGGGATTTCGTTTTCAACTCTTGTCCCGCGATCGAGCAGCAAGCAGCGACAATTGATTCGACTCATCTCCACCAGAGCCTGTGGTGTGATATCCTAGTCTGTCTTCAAGCCGTGCAAGATAGACCTGAGTCGCAAGTATGGCCGTTGGAAAGTACGCAAATACCCTCCATGTGTTGGCAATTTCAGCCCGGCGAAGTGCTATCGAAATGGGCTTCGGATTTTACATTGCTAATTTCTGCCCAGGAACAAGCGCTTGTCGAAGGGCAAGAAGGGTGTTAAGAAGAGGACCGTTGACCCCTTCACCCGTAAGGATGAATACTCTGTGAAGGTATGTATCTTGAACAGGTGATTGTTGTAATTTGCTAACGCGAAGTAGGCCCCTTCAACTTTCCAGATCAGAGAGTATGCTACGAGCCCCAGTGAATTTCCTTCCCTCAATGCAGTGATTGAATATGTTACACCATGCGTGAAAACAAGGCTTGCGTGAAACTGAGGACTAACATTCGCTCTCAAGTGTTGGAAAAACCCTTGTCAACCGTACCAGTGGTCTCAAGAATGCGAACGATTCCCTGAAGGGCCGTATCTTTGAGGTCTCTCTCGCCGACCTTCAGAACGATGAAGACCATGCCTTCCGCAAGGTCAAGCTCCGTGTGGATGAGATCCAGGGAAAGAACTGCCTGACCAACTTCCACGGATTGGACTTCACGACCGACAAGCTGCGATCCCTCGTGCGCAAGTGGCAATCGCTCATCGAAGCCAATGTAACGGTTAAGACGACTGACGACTACCTCCTCCGTCTGTTTGCCATTGCTTTCACCAAGAGACGCCCGAACCAGATCAAGAAGACAACATACGCTCGCTCGTCTCAGATTCGCGCTATTCGGAAGAAGATGACTGAAATCATGCAGCGCGAGGCAGCTAGCTGTACTCTTTCTCAGCTCACTACCAAGCTGATCCCTGAGGTCATTGGTCGTGAGATTGAGAAGGCGACCCAGGGCATTTACCCTCTGCAGAACGTTCGTGATCCAGGTGTTTTTCTTTATTTTGCGATGAGGTGTCATTGTTGACTGACATTCATACAGGTCCACATTCGCAAGGTTAAGCTGCTCAAGTCTCCCAAGTTCGACCTTGGTGCCCTGCTCAACTTGCACGGCGAGTCTACGACTGACGATAAGGGACACAAGGTTGAGAGGGAGTTCAAGGAACAGGTTCTCGAGAGCGTTTAAACGTTTGGCATTCGCTCGTCATGAATTCCAATCTCTACCGTCTCGTATCGAGGGCGTCACTGCTCCAAGTATAAGGTGTTCAATTTTACTAAAAGTAGTGTCATCAGCCTATAAATGACAATATGTGCAAGTTTTCCGTATCCGACTTGTAGTCTTGTTTATTTTTCTTCACGCTCTCTTAAGCTTGGTTATGACTGTCGAGTGGAACTTTGCAGTACTACTTCAGTAGCTTCCCCTAATAAGCTATATGCCGTGACCTTGTATAGAACATTGACAGCAAATTCTTTGCTTCTGGTGCTTACTGCAGCCGTAGTATGAGTATTATTACATAAAAATTTTTAATATCTATTGTCTCTGGTTGCTATGTAACACGATCAAAAAGACTCAATATTTCTGGAGGACTAATTTATGATGTTATACTTGAGGACTTTGGGTAATTTATACAGCCAGTTATTAATCAAACCCTTACAATTTCCCAGCTGACCCCTACCCGCCCTGTGCCAGCTATAATAATCAGCTTAGCCTATTTTATACCCCTGTATTAGATCTAAATAGATTTTCCACTACTAGAAGTGTCTAGCTAGTCTTTATAGTGATAGCAGATCTTGTAGATCTTATAACTAGTCAATTATATAAAAATCTAATAACAAACTGTTTTTATTTTAATACTAAGATAGTTATCTCTTAATTTTTAAAAAAAATATGTTTAGAATAGTATTTTAATTATTTAGAGATATATTTTTGGTTTTAGTTTTACACATGGGCAGCGGGCTTTTAATTATTATTAGGATTGTTTTATAATTATCAGATTGTCTTGTATAGACAACACTGATCATGATTATATAATAATAGTCACCATCATCAATTCCTTGCCGCGCTCTAAACTCAGTTTAGTAACTTACTAAGTTAGTATAAATATAAGAGTAGTTCTATTCTATTGTCTCCAGTAAGTAGTATTATATTCTTGAATTTAATTCAGAATAAAATTTTCAAATTAGTATGTATAATTCAATGTATGTATAATTATAATTATTATATTTTATTATAAATAAAAAGCTGTTAATTTGTGGATATTAATACTTTATTAGAATGATTTCTCTATTACTATTATACAAGGTACGCAGTTATACATATTACAAAGAAGGTATACTTATTAGTGAAGTGGGTTCTCAGGGGTGTAGGGGCTTCCGGACACTTCACCTGTATACAGACTAAGACACAAGCAGAATACTAATAAAAGATAGAAGTAATACTTTTTAAATTTAAAATATTAATAATATAAATATTTAAAAGTTTCTATTTAATAATTACTAGTAGATTCTTTTTAAAGATTTATTAGAATATATATTTACTCAGCTAAAGATAGAATAATTATATTTTATTTATAAAGCTAGTTATATTATATTATTCTTTTTTTTTAATATACCATTAATTCTTTAAATAAAAATAACTAAAAACAAGTATAAATAAGAGTTAGATTAGTTATACAGTTAAAATACAGGTTAAAAACCAATCTTTTAAAAGGTATATTTAAATCTAAATTAATTATAAAATACAAGTTCTAAAATTAAATATAAAAAGATATTTAATATTTATTTATAAATTATATATTAAATATTATATAACACAGCTAGTTTATATTTAATATATAATTAATTAATTCTGAATTTATTTGATATAATAAATTTCAATTATTAAATATTTTATAATAATATATATATTATATAATTTAGGAATTAATTATATAATTACCTAGTTTAGATTATATTTATAAAATAAATAATAATTATATATTTATTTTAATCTTTATAAAATATTTTAACTGTTATCTAAATATTTTAACTGTTATTATTAATCTATCCTGGCTAGAGTGGCTATATCTAACTATTATATCTTAACCTAATCTTAATTATAATCTAATAATTAGATTATGTTAGGGGAATAATTAGATTAAGCTAATCTAATGATTGACTGTTGATACAGAAGAAATTAATAAAAAAAATAAAAAAAAGTATTTAAGTTATATTCTTTTATCTCTTTTTATATAATATTATTTCTTACTTTATTTAATTATTTATTTAATTATAATATATTAAATAAAATATTTATATAAATATTATTAAGTCTTTAAGATTTAAAAAATTTATATCAGAATTTTATAATAATATTGTTTTTATTTTATATATATTTATTGTATTTATAAGAAATTTTAAAATTTTCTTATTTATATATTAATTCTATTATATAAAGAACATATTTTTCATATAAATAATAATTTCTCATTTTTTTAGATTTTTTTAAACTTAGCTTTTTAAATATTCTGATATTTTTCTATATTAGAGTGGCTTAACCTGACTATTATATCTTAATCTTAACCTGGCCATAAGCTGGTGATTAGATTAAGATATAAAAAACTTTTAACTATATAATTAAGATTAGATTAAAATATAACTATTATTTTAACTATTTATACTTGTTAATTAAAAAAATCAGATATAATAAATAAATTAATAATCACAGATTAATTTATAATATATATATTCTTTTTATATAAATAATATATAAAATTATATATATATTTAATTATAATATAATAATATTTTTTAAATATAGTCTACTGCTTAATCTATTTAATTAATTATTTTAAGAAATATACTATACTCTGAAAAAGACTTTTATAAAATCTAGTATAAAAAAATAAAAAAAGATATAAAATATTAAATTTAAAATATAATTATCTAACTAATTAATCTGATTAATCTGATTAACTCTAATTAAAATAAAAAATATTTTCTTATTAGAACTAATTTAGTAGTTTATTATAATTAATATTTATCTAGTATCTAGAAATTTTAATAATAATTATATATATATCTCTTCAGATAGTTCTATAAGATATTCTTTAATTTATATTTAATTAAAAGAACTTATCTTTTAGCAGAGAATTAAAATAGTAAGATTAATTATTTATTTAAATTAAATATATTTAATAATTCAGAATAATAAATAATAGATAATTATAAAATATAGAAGTTAATTCTAAAAATCTTATTTATTATAAATTATAAGGATCTAGAGAAAGATAATATTTAAAAAAGATTTATTTTAAAAAAATAAATAAATATCTGCGACAGCTCTTTATTTAATATTTAATTAATTATTTATTAAAATATAATTAATAATAATTTCTTTTTATAATTTTTGCAGAGATAATAGCTTATAAAACTAGTTTCTAAATTTTAAATTTAAAAAAATAAAAGCAGAAAACTCTATAAAAATAGTTTATTTTATTTTAAGATATATTTTTATATGAATATAATCTATTATATTTTAATATATAGCTAATATATCTATTATATTTTATTTATTTTAGTAAATCTAATAAGCAGAAATTTATATTTAAAATCTAGAGTTATAAAATAATCTTTTTTTTAAATAAAGCTGTTTAAAATATAATAAATTAGAATAGAAAATAGATTTTTATAAAAAAATTTACAAAAGATTTTTATAGAATCTTTTCTAAAAATTATAATATTATAATACAGATCTAATATATTCTATCTATTTTATTTATTTATTTTATTTATTTAATTTATTTAATTTATTTAATCTATTTAATCTATTTAATCTATTTAATCTATTTAATCTATTTAATCTATTTAATCTATTTTATTTTAATAATTTAATTATTTTTTCTAATTATTCTATATATAATCTATAATATATTTTTAATTTTATTAGTAGCTCTTTGAGTTATATTTTATTTATAAATCTAAGAATAGTCTGATCCAGAAGAAATAATAGAATAAAGAATATATATTTATTTTTAATATTTTAATTAATAATTAATATATTTTTCTAGTATTTTATAATATAATTAAAATATATAATTGAAACAGAGCAGTAATTATATATTTTTATATATATATATTATTATAAGAATAATAATTTTATAAAAAGCTGAATTTTATTAATATAATTAGGATTTTCTTATTATTTCTGATAAATAATAATAAAAAAGATATTAATTTTTTTTTAATTATATTTTTTTAATCTAAAAAGCTTTTTTTTTATATTTTTAGATAATAATAAAGATAGCTAGATTAATAATTATTTAATCTAAATATATTTTAATTATATTAAAGCTTAAAAAAATATAGCAGATAAATCTTAATATTAAAAATAATTAAAATAATTAATTATCCAGTTTTTAGCTATATTATAATTAGATATAAAAAATTTTTTAATCTAATTATAATCTGGTGATTAGATATAGAAATTCTAATTAACCTGATCTGATCTGGCTGTTAGCCACTCTATTCTATATTATTTTTATTAAGTATCTTTTATTTTTTTTATATTAAATATATTCTTTCTAATCTTTGTAGTTATAATTAAAAAATCTAAAATAAAAAATATTATTTTTTAATATTTACTTACTACTTATATAATTTAACCAAATCTATAAAAATTAATTTATATAATAATAAGTTTATTCTACTTATCTAGAAATTTGCTTAAAAAATAGATATATAATTATATAATTTACAGCTTATAAAAATAAGAACCTATATTAGTTTTATTGTATTAAAATAAAAAAAATATAAAGATTCTTTTACATAAATTTATTATTTATATTAATTTTCTGTCTATTCTAAAGATAGATACTTATTTTTAAATCTTGTATAAATATTATAAATATATATTATAATTTTTTTATAACTAAAAATAATATATTTATTATATATTAATACTATTTTTATTATCTTTTATAACTTTCTATAATTTATTTTATATAATAATAATATCTGCTTTGTTTTCTTTGAAGATATATAATTATTTGAATATTAGAATAAATATCATTTTAAATATAAATAAAAAAATATAAAGTCTGATATATATATATAAATAAAAATAAGATAAAATATTAATTTATAAATATTACAGTACTTTTCTATATTATTATTAAAAAATTAAAAGACTAAATTACATAAATAAAAAAATCTTTTTATTCTTTTTAAAAAAGAAATATTATAGTTTTTTTTATTATTATTATATTTTTATTTTTTT